TAGCAGTCAAGTGCCTTAGGCACAACACTACCAGAGCTCCTACATGCATATGAGGCTACTGAAAATACCATGGCTTGTGTCAGGTGAACCTTAGTCCTCAAGGAGACATCTTTGCTCTTCAGCACTTGAAAGAGGTTCTTCACAGCCGATTTCCCCAGTGCTATACATTGTCAGATGTTCTGACTGCTGCTTCCATTGGTGTCAATTGCAGAACCAAACAATGTGAAGTCTCTGACAACTTCAATCTTTTCTCCATTTATTGTGATGCTGCTTATAGGTCTTGTTGTGAGGATTTTTGTTTTCTTTATACTGAGATGTAATCCATATTGCAGACTGTATTCTTCAATCTTCATCAGTAAGTGCTTCAAGTCATCCTCAATTTCAGCAAGCAAAGTTGTGTCATCAGTGTATCGCAGGTTGTTAGTGATTCATCCTCCAATCCTGATGCCCTGTTCTTCATATAGCACAGCTTCTCGGGTTATTTGCTCAGCATACAGACTGAACAAGTATGGTGAAAGGATACAACCCCAACGTACTCCCTTCTTGATTTTAAATCATGCAGTGTCCCCTTTTTCTGTTAGAATGACAGCTTTCTGGTCTATGTACAGGTTCCTCATGAGTACAATTAAGTGTTCTGGAATTCTCATTCTTTTCAATGTTACCCATAATTTGTAATGATGTACACAATCAAATGCTTTTACATAGTCAATAAAACACAAACATCTTTCTGGTATTCTTTGCTTTCACCCAAGATCCATCTGACATCAGCAATGATATCCCTTGTTCCACATGCTCTTCTGAATCCAGCTTGCACCTCTGGAAGTTCTCTGTCAATATACTGCTGCAACCATTCTTGAATTATCTTCAATAAGATTTTACTTGCATGTGACATTAATGATATTGTTCAATAATTTCCACATTGTGTGGGATCACCTTTCTTTGGAATGGGTACAAATATGAATCTCTTCCAGTCAGTTGGCAAGGTAGCTATCTTTCTTCCAAATCTTCTGGCATAACAGAGTGAGTGCCTCCAGCGGGGCATCTATTTGTTGAAACATCTCAATGGGTATTCTGTCAATTTCTGGAGCCTTGTTCTTCACCAATTTCTTCAGTGCAGCTTCAACTTCTTCCTTCCATACCATTGGTTCTTGATCATATGCCATCTCCTGAAATGGATGAACATCGACCAATTCTTTTTGGTATAGTGACTCTGTGTATTCCTTCCATCTTCTTTTA